CTTCACTTCGAAATGAGTGATATACTTGAATGGAATCCTGGTTAGAAGGATTCATTTGTCAATAGATCTCTGCTGATATGATCGAGTAACACACTTCACTTCGAAGTGAGTGGTATACTTGAATGGAATCCTTTTTATACGAATTCATTTGTCAATACATCTCTGCTGATATGATCGAGTAACACACTTCACTTCCAAGTGAGTGATATACTTGAATGGAATCCTTATTATACCAATTCATTTGTCAATAGATCTCTGCTGATATGATCGAGTAACACACTTCACTTCGAAGTGAGTGATATACTTGAGTGGAGTCCTCTTTAGAATGATTCATTTGTCAATAGATCTCTGCTGATATGATCGAATAACACACTTCACTTCGAAGTGAGTGATATACTTGAATGGAATCCTCCTTAGAATGATTGATTTGTCAATAGATCTCTGCTGATATGATCGAGTAACACACTTCACTTCGAAGTGAGTGATATACTTGAATGGAATCCTGTTTAGAATGATTCGTTTGTCAATAGATCTCTGCTGATATGATCGAGTAACACACTCCACTTCGAAGTGAGTGATATACTTGAATGGAATCCTGGTTAGAATGATTCATTTGTCAATACATCTCTGCTGATATGATCGAGTAACACACTTCACTTCGAAGTGAGTGATATACTTGAATGGAATCCTTTTTATACGAATTCATTTGTCAATACATCTCTGCTGATATGATCGAGTAACACACTTCACTTCGGCGTAAGTGTTATAGTTGAATGAAAATCTGGTTAGAGTGATTCATTTGTTTAGAGATGTCCGCTGATGTGATTGAATGACCTGTTTCAGTTTGAAGTGATCGACACTCTTAAATAGAATTCTAATGAGACTCGTTCATTTGGTGTTTCGTGCTTCTTGGTAAGCTTTAGCGTGAATTTTGTCCTGAATGAAGGGCATATCTGGAGGAAGCCTTGGTCAAAATGATTGCTTAACATGGAAAGTTTTAGTTACTAGTTTATTGACATGTTTCATCTGTAAGTGAGTGGGTTACTGGTATGAGGTCCTAGTTATAACGTTTCATGGGTGAAGATACCTTTGCTGACGTAATCAAGTGAAGGATATTGCTTCGGATGGACTGACATACTTGAATGGAGCCTGCTTATAATGATTCATTTATGAAGAAATCGGTGTTGTTGTGATCGATTGAGACGCTGCAGTTCGGAGCCAGCGCTGTATTTGGACAGAATTGTTTTGAGACTGATACATTCCCCATGTATCGATCTCCGGTTTGTATAGTGTATAGCAGTGTAGCTCTAAATCGTTCACAAATTCTGTCCGAGTAAATAGCAGAGAACTGTTAAAGAGGTAAAACATGCGTAAATAAGGGCATCTGAATAACGTACGCGAAGTTAGCACAAGTTTCGAGTAAAGCCTGCCAAGGTTCATCCAGGAATAAGTTCCAAGTGTTCTGTTCATATTTCAAGTACGATTCCATAAGCGCTATCGAATAGTACGTTCAGATGTTCTATAGCTCAAATCAAGTCTGCGATAATCGAAAAATACTGGTATCTCCGCATAGGAAACTTGGGCTTCACGGCGTGAAATCCACCAAGATTTGTTTCGGGATATGGTCGAGATATTTCTTGTAAGTTCCAAGTACAACTCGATGAGCTCTATTGAATGGTATAGTTAATTCTCGATAGCTCAAAGCATGTCCCTGAAACTGCAAAAGTACAAGTGTATCACCACAGGAATGCTAGATTCTGTATAGTAAAACCTGCCAAGTTTCGACCAGGAAGATGTCCCAGATGTTCCACTTGTGTTCCGAGTACAACTCAATGAGCTCTGTTGAATGATATAATTAGATTCTGGATCGCTCAAACCATGTCCCAGGAAATCCAAAAATAGTAGTGTATGAGCACCGGATTCTTGGATTCTCTATAGTACTAGGTTGGCCAAAAAGTTCTGCAACACTTGGGAAAAAATTGATTTTTATGCGCAAAGTTATTTAAAAACAATAACAACTACTCTTCCAAATAAAGGCCATCGTTTTCAACGATCTTTTGTCACCGATCTGCAAGCATCCGGATTTGATTGAAGTACCATTCTGCCGGCTTCGAATTGAAGAACTCCTGGCACGCTTCCTCAACTTGATCAAATGACTCGAATCGGCGACCACGCAAAAAGTGCTCCGTTGATCGAAAGAGGCCGTAATCGGGTGGCGCAGCGTCGGGACTGTAGGCTGGGTGCGGCAAGACCTCGACTCCCTCCAGTTCGTCAAATTTCTCCTTTGTTTTCCTGGCGGTGTGGGGTTTAGCGTTGTCTTGCTGGAACAAAGCGCGTTTGCGACGAACGGGGGTCGGTTACTTCTCCTTCAGCTTGTCATAGACACGATCCAGTTGTTGGCAGTAGAGTTCGGCGTTCACGGCACGGCCATTCGGAACCAGTTCAAAGTGAAGCACGCCCTCAAAGTTCCACCAGATGCAAATCATCACCTTCTTGCCGAAACCATCTTGATGCGGAACTGATGGCGGATCTTGACCTCGCGGACCCCACTGCTTCTGCCGGTTGTGATTGACCAAGTAGACCCATTTTTCGTCAGAAGTCACAATACGCTTCCAAAACCGATCATCCATTGGATTTTCCAACAATTGACGGCAGACTTCAACACGACGCTTGGCTTGCGCTTCGGTCAACTCGTGTGGATTCTGGCGAGGCTTCTTGTGCACAAAATCCATTTGATGCAGGTGATTGAGCACAGTCTGATGGGACGAGACTCCAAGAACCGACGTCAATTCACGGCTGCTCGATGAAGGCTCATCTTCCAAGGCTGCCCGTAGATCTTAGTTGTCCAGCGTTGATGGCCGGTCGGAACGTAGGTGATCTTCGAGACTAAGGTCACCGGAATCAAGTCGTTTGTACCACCGGGAAACAGTTGTGTAGTGGACGATTCCTTTGCCTTCAGCATCACAGATCTCTTTCGCAGCATCTCTGGTAGAAAGTCGTCGCTTCCAACAATAGCATATCAAGACTCGAAGCTCGATTTTGTCCAATGTCACCTGAAACTTTGAGGATAAAGATGAACCCTGTCACGTCTTCGGGCCGAGATTGATGTCGAGCAGAAAGAAGACACGATTCAGAAGAGCTGATTTATTCGCAAGTGAACACTGAGTGACTGATTGGGAAAAATGACAGTGACAAATAGGAAACACCGGTATATATAGTATGAAAATTGCGCAATAACGTTACGTAATAACATTACGCAAGAACACGTCATATGTCCGAGTAGAGTGCATAGAAAGTCCTAGAAGGTACATGCAATATTGAACAATGGATAGATAGAGACGGCCACGTAGACGGACACGTGATTGTTTAGTCACTACATCACAAACCCGGAACACGAGAAACACAAAAACAACAAAAATTGTGCATCAAACACACAAAAATTTAACAAAAATGCGCATAAAAATCAGCTTTTTCGCAAGTGTTGCAGAACTTTTTGGCCAACCTAATAGATATGCTGCGAGAAACAATTCTCAGAAACAAGAAACATTTTGTAATTTCCATATGATACGTTTTGTTTTTTGCATGTTACAGAAGTTTCATGTAATTTCTATAAGGTTTCTTGATACGCATGGAATCTGCCTCTTGAAGCCCTGTGAAGGCTTGTGAAGTTCTATGAAGTTTTGTGAAGTCTGGCGAAGTTTTATGAAGTCTGATGAAGTCTTATAAAGTCTCAAGAAGTCCTATAAAGTCTCTGAAGTAGAGTACTGCGGGGCAGTCTTGAATCCCGAAAAATCCAGTTTGTTCCATTCCGCGTGACAATCGGGATTGTCCCGAACATTTTTTGGGACGGGACAAACGGGATCGGGACAATATAGAAAAACCTACGTCCCGAATTTTTTTATCCGTTTATGAGACCCTGTCGTACACTTTAACTTTTTGTTTCTAAGAAATATATTAATATTTTCAACAAAAAATACAAAAAAAGAAATATTGATAAACTTGTCTAAAGTTGTTCATCATCATTATCTTCGTCGGTTGTTGCTTCATCGACTTCTTGAGTTTCTGTCATTAATTTGATTTTTTTATTAAGTGTTATTGATGGTATTGAATCAGTCGAAATTAAACTACTTTGTCTTTTTGTGCAATGTTCAACTGCTGGAGGATAAATTTCTTTTAATATTCTCAGATTTCGTTAAATAAATAATAAATTATTAACTTTATCGGCATCTAAACGTGTTCGTCGATTTGTGACAGTATTGCCACTATGAGAAAATAAACGTTTTATTGAAGTATTTGTGGCAAGAATTGCTAAAACACGTTTAGCTATTCAAGCTAAATTTGAATGCAAGGACTCGTTTAAATTCCAGTAAGATAAAATATTCATATTATTATCAATTCTTGTTTCATCTGCTGAAAATAGATCAAGTTCTGTTTTTTCAACCGGTGTTCGTAAATCATTTTCATCATCAGGTACATCATATATTTCATCTAAGAAATTTATTGAATGCATTTTTTTTCACTTTCTTCTTTTCTTTATTATTTAGTGTTGTTGTTTGAAGTGGTTGTACAACAACCGGATCCAATAATTTATTAATTTCCAATTTAAGTAATTCAATATCATGTTCTTTTTTATTTGCTATAAGATAAAAACTTTTTAAATTGGGAAATTGAATTAAATTTTGATGATCACCATCATTTTTTGTCGATTTATTGATTAAAAACTGTTTGTATGGAATCACCAAATGTAAGACTGGTGTTTATTCCCGGCAAAGTTTCTCCAAAACATCGTGGAAATGTTTTAAATATTTTGTTAATTGTTCTAATTCAATGCAATTAATTTTTAAATAGTTTTGTCGTTGATTGTTATTTAAAACAGATGGTAATTCATTAGAAATCATAAGAAATTTGTTTAACATTATATAAACCGTGCTAAAATGTGTTTTACAATAATTCTGAATACATTTAGATAATGACGATTGTTTATGACTTTGACTAAACCCCCTCACAGAATAGAAGCCCACTGAGGTTCTATTATGTTTGGAAAATCATAAGTTTGAGGGTGGGCTTCCATTGCGATCCAGTTTTTCGCTGTGTACAGTAAAATTTGAAATGTTGTTTTCAATGAAAATCACACCAAGATTATAGTAAATTTATTAAAATTCCTATGCAACTGCATATATGTAGTGGTGTTTCGATTGACAGAACTTGGGGAGGAAATCAACTACTGTTTCAAAAAATTTCTTAGAAATTTTCATAAACTGGAAGTTTACAAAGAATTTCTCGATAAGTTTTTAAAAATTTCTTAAGATCCTCTCTCAAAAAATTCACTTTTCGTCAGAATCACTGAAATTGAGACAAATATATAAGATAGTCTGTCATTTGATCTTTCATAAATGATAAAAATTCTTCTTCGGTACCTCCTTTTTTCCGAAAATTTTCAAGATTTTTGACAACCCCTATTCGAAAAACCAGCAGTTTTTGAAAAAGTCCAAAGATTTTTTTCTTTTTTTCTCAAAGTTGTAGTCGAACGATGCATCTCCACCAAAAGTCAACTCTAATGCGATATAAACTCAAATTTTGTTTTTGTTTGAAAGAGCATCAAAAACTGCAGTGCCTATGAGAGCCCTTTTTTTGACAAAGCTTTGCTATTTTTATATTGATAAGTAATTTTATTATACGAGCGCCATTTTTTGAGGGGTTTTTGAGTGATTGAACTTGTGAAGCCTTTTTTTCTTCATAAAGATAAGAATTTAAAAGAAGAGCCCTCGTAGACACTGCATCCTGACATGCTCTTTCATATGAAAAAACAATCAACCATATTGATTGAACATCCATAGAGAATTTTTGGAGACGCGATACGCTACTTTTCGACCCTTGTTTGGTTCGTATCTACCTCAGACATCAGGATAGGAAGCTGAAAATTTCACCACAAACGTACTTTTACACCCCCAACATATCCTCAAAGTTTCATGCTATCTCGATGTTCCGAAGCTGAGATCGAATTTTGAGGAAGGCGGGCTTAACAAGTTTTGTAAATCGTTAAGCAAAAAAACGACATTTTTGAAGATTGGGATGATCTAGGACTACACCAATTTCCATTCTTGGAATGGGTCGAAATTAGTGTGAAATTGGCATCGCTTTGAAAGATTTCTATCTAGTATAAACACTTGCATGATTCTCTATGCGATACCATAAAAGCATCTTCGAATATGGGAAAAAAATTTTTTTCGAAAATTTCCCTGGGGGATGTGCAAAAAATTTTTTTCCTCATTCGTCATACGATTTGGGTTGGCTTCTATTACATCCGGAAAATTACAGCGATGAGACTGGGCTTCTATTCCGGATGGGCTTCTATTCTGTGGAGGGGTTTAATATAACTAATAATATCTCGCACTATCAAAAATAATTTTTGAACACCAGCACGAAGTGATTCATCTAATTCAAATGCATGTGCAAGAACCTTGTTGATGTAATGGGCGCTGCATCCAACTCTTGTTGTATCGTCCTTGAATGCACAAACCATTTTCGGTTCATTATCCGATACAACGAACATATCCTCATTTACTTTGAGACTAAATTCTTCCGCTATTGTATTTACGAAATCACGAATGTTGTGTGCTTTTTGATTTGGAAGATCATATAACTTCCAGGCTAATACAAATATTCGTAAATAATAATTATCATCGACGAAATGTAAACCAATATCACAATAATGTAAACCTGTAATAAAGAAAACACGAAACAATTTTTAATTACTGAACATAGGAGTATTAATTCAATGTTATATTTTTTAAAAGTAAATAAATCTTGTATTGGAACATTTAAAAAAATAAATAAAACGTTTAAATTTGAAATTTAGACAACGATAACTTCAAAAATTAATTATAAGAAACAATGATAAATAACATTATATTTTTTCCAACGCGTAGTTCATTTATTTATATTCCCAAAATCTCTTATTTGCCATTTATATATTTTTCATATCACTGTGCGTTTTCTCCCTCTTATCCTTTCTCGAAAATCATATCCATAAAATGAAGATTTTACTAGACTTCTTGAATACATACCAGTGTGAAGTTCAGACCAAAAGTCACATGTAATTGTGAACTGCTCCACGTTCTGACATAAAAGAATTAATTGATCTTTAAGTTTGGTACAAACACGCTCAACGTTGCGTGAAACCTATGAAAGAAAAAATATATAGATTAGATAAAAACAGCTGACACTTACAGTTATTGAATGTGGTAATAAATCATTCACAGAGAATCCTGTTCCCAATAGAGCACCAGCATTCATCAGCTGCTTTGTCAAGTTAATAAAACCTTTACCAGTTACTGTATCAAATGGTCTACCATCAAGCGCACAAAGTTAAACACACGCTTCAACAATCCGATCTTTAATTGATGAATAATTATCAGGAGCTGGTGGTATTTAAGATGATATGGTACGTTGATGTGAAGGTGTTGTTGATGTTTTTGATGCTGGTGTATTTTCACGCAGGTCGGTCTGCATGACACTTCCGAGTCGCCTCGGCCGTTTTAGACATACGCTGGGGGTTACCCACCGACACTGAACGTTACTCACGCCCAGCTACAATGTTCCGCAGATGGTATACGGTACAAGGGTCTTGAATGACTATCCCGATGTTAACACTACCTTTCTTGTTTTTACTCCCAGTCATTGTTTTAATCCCGCCTGTGCAAGCACAGCAGGTCATTAGACAACACCATTTCCTTATCTTACAGCAAGGTGATTTTTGATGATTCTACTCATTCCCAAAGCTACACTCCGTTGCATTCTCTCGAGACAGTCGTCAGTTGCAAACTGATTGAAGCCAATTTTTCCATTAGATCACTTTTTAGGTTCGAAAGCACTTCGCCACATCTGCCAAGGACTACTGGTAAGAACGTAACTTCCCACCCTGCAGTTTGTAATTCACGTTGTAAATTATCGCCCCTAGGGTATGGTAGTTTCATTTCTTGCTCCCAATTACCATTGACACAATAACGGTTTGTTTTAATTTGTACCTGTCTTTCTGTACCAGTAAACCATGATAATGCAACTTCGATAATCAAAGCTGTCTTTTTTGACTTATTGAAGACTATTAAATCTGGTTTGTTATGGCGAATGATCGTCTTGGTTTGTACTGGTTGATTCCAATACAACTTGATACTATCATTCTCTAGAACCGATTCCACTTTCTGTGAGTAGTGAGCAGGAGTGAGACCGTATTTTTGACATAATCTATAGTGTATATTTCTTGCAACTGAGTCGTGACGGTCAACGTATAGGGTCGACAACTACTTGGAACAACTTGAAAGGACATGTTCAATTGTTTCAAGATGACACCCACACGCTCTACAACTCTTATCGTTCAAATGCTCCTGTGAAGGATGTGTGCGCGTTATTAAGCATCCTTCTTGAACTGATAGAACATTGCGCACCGCTATCGATGATAGTTTCCCTTCCTTAAGCCAGGTAAAGGACTCTACCATATCCATGCTAGAGTTTGAACGTAGAACACGTCCTGCTAGCTCCAATTTGCTCCATGTTTTGTACCGTCTGATGTTATTAACAGTACGCATTAGCCCGACCACATGTCTTGCTAACGTTTTAGCGGCGTTAAAAGAAGCACCATCTATGATGACAGTGGAACGCACTTCTCTAACTTATAGTCTATATCATATGTCTTTAAAATGCTGCCCGCATCACTAACTACACATCGGCTTCCACGATTGTGCATGTTCAAAAACAGATATAATGATCCTTTTAATTCTGCTTTCGTACAGAGATACGCCCATAGGTATATGGTGGACTTCTCTAAGGCGTCCTTAATCGATTCGAGACCATATCCTCCCATTTCAGCTGGCAGATACAATCTTGCTACACAGCTGGATACTTGTCTAGCTTTAAGTTTCACAAGGAGTTTGCGAAACTTCGTGTCTAGATCTTTACCTTGTTTTAAGACACTTACGTATGTGCCACTACCTTTAGCTACGCAACTGATTATATACTTAAATACAGGAATGATAGTGGTGTTATAGGAATTCACTTTTTGTCGAAAAGTAAGATCGGAATCCCATAATCGATGTGCTTTTTGATAACACCTGTCGTACGCACGATCCCATGCTTCAGACTCCTTTAAACCTAACTTCTGCTCCATGCCCAAGTATTTGTAGACTGCTTCACCACCTAGCATTGGGAAGCTCATACTTCTGTCAGTAGATGGGTCAGTATCCATTCCTACTTGCTCACTTCGCATCCACCTCGGAATAAAGTGTGCTACAGCACATTTTTTGACATTCAATTTCATGCTAATATCCTCTGAAATTGATGCTACGACTTTGATCTGATCCATTAGACTTTTAGGTGAGTTTGCATACAGTTGAAGGTCATCCATATAGAAAAGATGAGACAACGAGACTTGCATCTTTTTAAATTTCCCAGAGCCGGTGGTATAGCCACCTTTAACACTATTTATTGCGTGACTGATGGGAACCATCGCTAGAC